AAAACCAGTGTTGAGTGTGTGTGTGTGTGTGTGTGTGTGTGTGTGTGTGTGTGTGTGTGCGTTTGGAAAGCACAAAGGCTGCCACTGGCGTGAAAACCTTCGTCTTCCATCCTGTACCATTTTCATGGCTGCCCATCAGTCAGAGTCCATTACATGGGTTTAGCCCATAATTTAATCTTGCCGCGCGTCGAGGAAAGAATTCAAACAGTTGATTTTCACCCGACGGGATCTCAAAGAAAAGTCGCTGACTGCTGCTCTTCCTGTCAGATGTGCCTGACATCAGACGCAGAGGATGTCAGAGGACCAAATTTCCACTAAAAACCTGCAACTGGAGGTTTTGAGATGTGTGGCAACCACTGGAGCTTTCTTTTTTGGCACGTCTTGTGTAATATTGAAGTCCGTTTTCAGTTATGAGGAGAGTTTTATTCAATTATTGGCAATATTTAATCAATCTTTTCAGCACAGCACTCACCTTGCGCTTGCGCGGGATGGGCTCGTCGAAGAGCAGGCTGCTGCCGTCCTGCTCGTCTAGACTGGGGTCCTCGGGTCCCGCGGGGCCCGTCCCCACGCCGCCCAGGCTGGGCACTCGGAAGGGCTTGAAGCTGTCGGCCGAGAGCGGCGGCGACGGCGTGGACGGATTGGACTGGTCGCTGGGAGCCGACCAGCTCCAGTAGCCCCCCGAGGAGCTGTTGCTGGAAGGGGTGAAAGGACCGGCCGAGCCATTGTCCTTCCATGAGCCACTTAGTCCATCTGAGGAGAGCCAGAAGTAGACAGAGAAGGCAAAAGATAAGCAACAGAGGGGGGTGTTAACAGAGGGAAAGGTGGGGGGTAGAGAATGAATCTAACAGTCGCTCACACTCCGTTTAGATCTATGTTTGTAGGTGAAGAGACACTCAGACAACTTTATCTGTGCATTAGGAGCTTCACAGCTACACGGCTGGCTGTGACATAAGACAACAATGGTTACATCTCTGCTGTGTGATTCCACTGAGACACTTCCAAGGACTTGTTTTTTCCACATCAAAGAAATGCTCCCTTTGAATATCAGCAGCAGAAGGCGGCTCACTTTGTAAAGACAAAGGCTGTGTGTGTATAAGAGCGTCTAAAAGAGGAGGGGGGGGGGTGAGAGAGACCCAGATTTGTTGAGTGAGCAGCGGGGAGCCTCCACTCTCCCAGACTTCTCTTTTTCTTTACCACGCAAGAAATTCAATGCGGCTCGTAACAAAAAAGATCACGGTTTCTGTGTTAAGAGAATATCAGGGATCATCTCAAACATGTGGACATGATCCATGTGTGGCACGTTAAACAAGCGAGTGTGTGAAGGTTTTCGTGTGTGCTTGGTGGAGTGGGCAGTCGCTGGGTGGCAGAGACTGTGTGAGATTGCAGCTGGGGGGGGGGCACGCTGGATTCCCGCCACCGCGTCGAGTGGCCGAAATCCAGACTCTTTGTGCCTCTCGCTGGATCGGAGCGATTCACTGATGAGGCAATCCTGCCGCGCGGCAGGTGGCGGTAATTTATCAGCCCGGGCTTCCACATGCATTCACAAGATAACAGCTGTGAGGGAGGGAAAATGTCAGCCTGTGGGGAACATAGAAATGATTGTCTTGGAAGGGGAGCGACTTTGTTGTGTGTGTTTAGATGTCAAACGGTCTCTGCTTAATTTGCGGCCGAGAGAACCCAGCTTCACATCTGTGGCGTGCGTCGCCACACCTCCGCCGTGTGCTCGTCCTGCTTACCGCTGACTTTGACGGGCGGACTCCGAACCAGCGGGCTGGTGGACAGACTCGTCAGGACCATGGCGGCAGTCACCTTGTCCATATCCACTTCCTCCTCGGAACGCCTGACAAAACACAGCAGAAAGACAGAAAATTGTAACTGGGAATCCTCCATTTCCAGGCTGTAATGGCGATAATGATCCTAATTGTGCATCTAATGATTGATAACCACGGTACTAATTGTAATGCAGAAGTTTTTTTTTTTTTTTACAATTATGGGTTTTAGAGTGGTTCCACTAACGGATGCCCCCTTGCTGCAAATGGACAAACAGCTTTGTTCAGGACTGTTTACACATTGTGAAAACACCAAAGATAACGGGATGGAAACGCCACATTTCTGTTAGCTTTATCCAGCTGTTCCCAAACAAGTGAAGGGAGAAATCTCTAAACAGTTATGAAAGAGATCGAGCCTTCCCATTCGTTTCGAGATGGGGAAAAAACAAAGAACAAACATTTGCCCCTTCGGTCGGACTCTCAGCTGGCTGCCCTGACCGCAAAACCCTCGCCAAAGTCGGACGGCTAAAGAGCACAATGATCACTTGTGTTCTCCGCCTCCCTCGGCCAGATGTTGTCTTGACAAAAAGCAGAACTTCTGCCCCGCGCACTGTTGCAGTCTCTCTCCCGCGCAAGCTGCTAATTACATTCGAGTGTTTGGTTTTTCTTTTCAGGCAACTGACGCAACAGCTCATAAACCATGAGAAAAATCAACAGTTACCAGCTGAAACCCTACACAACTAAATAAATATCTACATGACGAATTAAGCCTGGCTGGTGTGCGTGTCCTGGGTTTTCACAGCACATTAGTGCAAACACAACGATCGATATGGGAAACTGGGACCAAATCTTATTGAGGTGCAGAGCACATGGACGAGGAGACAGGCGTCTTAATCTTCAGCCGTGTACTACTCCTAAAAGAGGGCCCAAATCCCCCTGATCAAAGAGATGCCAAAAGCTTTGCTGCTGACAGTCTACCTGTGGAGCATGTTCCCTCTAAACGCGTTGAGCAGTGTGTGTGTGTGCGTGCCTGTGGGGCTTTGATGGGTTGTGGATGCTAGAGGATCAAAGACAAGAGTATAATAATGATGAAATTTTCCGCCGCCTCGCAGGAACATGACATCAGCCATGCTGGATTTCACGAGATCGAGAAGTACTACGTCTCCATTGTTAGAAACACAGTACGAGCAAAATAAAGAACCCAGTTTTGTTCTTTCCAACTAATGTTACAAAAGGCAAACAAATGGTTATTTTTGTATTGACTGTACACAGAGTAAAAATCATCCGAAGGGCTTGAAGGAAGAGATTTTCCCCCTCAGGGGGAAAAAAAGAGGGAAATTCCCCAAACTCCATGTGAGCCCGAGACGTGCATGTGAGTGTAGATGTTAGACTGCATATGACATTCAGATAGGAAGCTTAAAAAAGAGAAAAGATTCATTAGAGATGTGGAACATTCATTTGGTTTTGTTTCTCCAAAGTATGACTTCAAACATTACATGTGTGGAAAAGTCGATGTGCACAGGTGTCCCATTCTTCTGCTGCTCATAACAGCGCCCAGTGCGTTTCTCCAGATTAAATCGGTAACGTTTTATTTTTGGCCGACTTAAGGCCTGTGTTAGCAACCGCAAGTTTAAAAAAAAAACAATAAAAAGCTAGCAGAGCGGAGGGGGATTTCCAGCGTTAGTTTGGGAATGAAAATAGACTTGTAAAGGATTATTTATGGAGTGTATCATTCTTCGAAAATGGATTAAGTACGGGGTCATTTTAGGCATGGTTTTCTTTAAGGCATTCAAAGAAAAAAGCCACTACACTGGGATTAATTTGTGTATTTAATGATATGACTAAGAGCACTGTGAGATGGTAAAATGATCATACACAATACAATTTAGTTTCAAGGACTTAAATCTTAGTTTGAGCATAATAACACTGTACATATGCAAAGCAAGTTGTAAACCTGAGCGAGACTGCATGTGTATAATTTGCTTAATTAGAAGGGACTTATGCAATTAAAAGTGTATTTACTTCACAGGCAAAGAGGGAGAGATGTGAAAAGAGAGTGTTGGCTAACAAAGAGAGAGGCTCAGCTTCCATTAGCTGATGGCTAATTTATTACCCCTCCTGCTGCCGAATATGATGTCATTACGGCCTTCGCATAAATCAAGAAAAGAGGCTGAACACACAAATGCCACTTTTACCCATAACCCCCCCCCCACCCCACATAGCCGTAAAACCACTTCCTTGTCACCTTGGGAGGTCATCATGTGACTATAGATATTATCTCCTCAGCAACAGTGACAGACAATAATTACTGAGAGATTTGTCCATGGTGAAAAATGAAAGAGTAAATCTCCGAAAAACACATTAGGAGGTCTCACAATTAAGATGTAATGTACGACATGGAGAAAAGAGAGACTGGGAGAGGAGATTTTCCCAAATCACATTAGTCATTACTGGTCTTATCAAACTCAGATTGTGTCAAAGTGGTTATTATGGCTGTAATGGGCACACACAGAGAGCACGTGTGTGTGTTTGTGTGTGTGTTTGTGCTCGGATGCATGACACGTTAGACAGGAGTTGTATTGGGACGGATGATGGTTTCTAAGTTAATTCTGAGAAACAGGATTCATATGGTGGATTATCTTTGACAGAGTATCTTAGTAATTGTGCTGTAATATTCTTACTTAATAAAATATTTTCTCGTCTCCAATTCCCCCCTCGAGGGTCCCTGAGAAGGACATTATCCTGGATGTATAGCTTCATCAACAGAAAACTACAGATAAAGCAAAGAGGCTGTTTACTTGGGCAGTTTTCATGAAATACATCCGTGTCGTTTTATCTTGCTGCTGGCTGTTTGCAAGTGGATAGCGAGTCTCCACAGGCGGCTAATGCCGTTAAGGTCTTTTTCTTTAAAGGAACAACCTCTTTCATTTAAATATATTCTGTTAAAGTGGCATTCGGCATTCAGAGTGACTTATCTGTATGTGACATAAAGCCACCGTGAAGCCCCTTCATGGGGAAATTGCACGGCCGTCCACTTTTCACACAGCACGGGCTGTATATCAAAAGCTACCAGAGCTGTTTTTTTGTTCTGTGGAGATTCCATTTTCCTCCATGCTCTCAACTTCATATTAAAATGCTCCGATTGGCGCATGGGAAAACAGATTTATAATTAGAAATGGAAATACAGCATTTAGATAAGACAATTAACTCTTTATATAATGAGTTTTCTCATAAATGAATCCTCCGTCTTATCTGTTTTCTCTCATCAAATTATTTCTTCTGTGTGCAAACAATCGAAACCCCACGAGATTCTGTACACTACAACACAATACAAAGAAAAGCAATTAAGCCCTCGTGTTCACGAGGTTAAGGTAGATGATGTTATCCAGATGTGTTGGAAATAATCCTTCATCCTGTCATCAGCGTGTTGCTGCGGATAAAACAATAATTCAACTGACCGTTTTTGCTCCAGAGACAATCCGATCAAACAGAGGACAAAGTAAGGTTTAACGAACCAGTGACACTGAACGACCATGGAACAAAAAAGAGGGTGAGGTTGATGTCAATCAGCTGCACAGTCATGACGGGAGGGGAAGTTTGTGTGCACCTCGTGCATGGGTGGACAAATGTCAGGTCAAAGCTTTCATTTGCATCGGGACTTCAGAGTTTTACCTTTTGTATGAGGGGCGAAACATGCACGCTGAAGACATGCTGCTGTGATCGGGAGAAAAACAAAAAGGAGAGAGGGGGGGGTGTAGATTCAGTACTGTTTGTTCCATAGATATTCAAGAGCTACTGTAAAAACCTTAGGATAAAAAGACAGGCAAATCACTGACTGAGCACATGTTGAAAACAACTGAAATGAGAAACTCAAGGAGGCAGAATCAGAAGCGGGGATCAGGTGCTTTCAACCCTCTGTGGCTGACACAGGTAAAACAACAGCTCCCTCTTCAGGAGTTTGGATGAGCTTGGAGGACGATTTGGCTGCTTTCCAACCTGTCGACGAAATGTCTGTGATTATATTTGTATGCGCAGCAGATGCCCAAATTTGGAGTACCGGTACTTCCTCGTCTGTGTACTGTTGTTTTTTTTTAAACTACTATAAGTGTTGTGATCAGAACAAAGAGCCCGCATGGGAGTTAGTGAGACGGGAGGCGCAGGACTCTGAGGCCTCCGCCATTGTGGGGGACAGGCAGTGTCCAGTTTCAAGCAAAACACTGCGCGGGCAGAGAAAATAACAGGAGTTCATGTTACTCCATAGATGGGCAGCCAATGAAATGTGGGCCTGGTTCTTGTTTTTTTCTCACATTTTTCATCTTCAGCTATATATTGAAGACAAAGTAGAGCATCGTTACCTTTTTCCAGGCAGAAAAACAAACATCAGGCCAGGGAAATTGTTCAAAAGTCGTTTTGTTTGCACGCACAATAAATGCGACCTTATAAATGTTGTGTTTTGTACAATTGTGTGCATCTTCTTTGGTTGCACTTTGGCTCTAAATGTTCTCGAGTTCTGAGTGTTTTTGTTAAATACAGTTTGATGCCAGAAAGCACGCAACATGACAAGAAAACAGAGACAGACAGTGAACAGCATTTTAGTGAATGTGAAAGGCGATAAAACATGACCAATAAAAGCTTTTTTTGTGGTTCTATTCTTATTTTCAAAGATAGTCTCCAATGTATTTCCTTAAACGCTCTCTGGGGTTTGTTTGTGTTTGTTGTTTTGGTTTTTACTGAAATGTTGTATATTGTTGTTGTTTTCTTTAGAAAAATAACTTATCATTTCACATAAGTTGAATTCTTCATCTTTCTTCTGTGTCTCCAATTCTGTCCTGTTGTGCTTGCCAAAATGTTTTCTTTCATAAAATGTTGGTTCTCGGTTTGTTTTTGTGTTTTATGAGCTTGGCTAACAATCATTACAATTAAAAACGCAGTTACATGGAGACTGCTACATTAAAAGAGGAAGTTAAAGTGGGAATTTCCTCACTTCTGAAAGACTTTTCCAAACCATTATTAGCTTACTCTATTCGATAGATCGAGTACAACTCCCAACACCAACGCAGCCTCGCAGAGCATCTGCCACAGTAGTTAACGCACCAGAGGGGGACGCTCATTTATCTAATGTGTGGGAAAATCGTGTCTAAGTTGTTCATTCTGTTCTCCATATCAAGTTCAGCTACAACTCTGTGTATGTTTCCCACTAACTAATAGTCCAACAGCCCTATGAAGTCTGTAATCTTTCATTAAGAGAGAATTTTGGGGCTAAAGGGGGCCAAGTTCAGCCTCTGGTCGACCAAGCACCCACTCTGCTCGCGTTCGTTTCTATGGCACCCAAAACACCATCAATCATCTCTATAAAGGCAGCTGAGAGTTGCGGTGGGTTTAGGAATTCCCCTGAAACGCAGGCCAGCGCTACCAGGCACACCCCTCACTCCTACACTCCGTCCTCTTCCTCCCCTTTCCTCCTCTTCCTCCCTTCACCCCTGCCGGACTGACTTTTCCACTCTTTTGTGCCTTTCCTCTGGGCCGGGCGAGCTTTCCCCCTCCCACGTTCGGAGCTTCTTTGACTTCTGCTGCCACGGATGGTAGTGCGAGCAAGAGCGAGCGAGGGGAAAAAAAAAAAAAAAAAAGAAAGAACGTGCATGCCGGTGTGTGTAAATACGTGCGTGCGTTTGTGGGCTGCCTTGTCTCTTTGATGCAGGGCGGTGTGCTCGTTTATAACAGCCACTGGACTATGAAGCCCATTTCCCCCTCAATAAGCTCCCATAAATCAGAAAGTTTCTTGTATATTATGTGCTTATCTGATTTCTCTGACACACACGCACGCACGCACACACGCATGAACACACACAGACGCACAGTATCAGTACCACAAAAGGAATCTGCATGCGACACAGGGTTAACATGCATGAAGGGCACAGCCTCTTGACTGGCAGGTGTACCACGAGGGGGAGAAGCTCAGGATGTTTCTTTGACACGCGTGTATCATTCAGCCATGTTGCCCACAACAGTCCTTTTGTCGGAGAACAAGCGCCCAGAAAACATCTTTTCAATAAAACCTTGAGCACATACGAGGCTGAGTATGAGAGCAGGGAGCAGCATTGTCACCATCCTGAAGCGCATTGTGTCGGTTTCTATGCACGAGGTGCTGAGTGAATGCTGGACCTTACCTCGATGACAACCAGGGGTGGATATGAAGTTTGGAAGTGTATATAAATGGTGTTGCCATTTCACCATATCACATCATATTCAAGTGCTTTGTTTTTTCTTAAATGATAAAAAGGAATAAAGAGAATAAATTCATATGTAGACATTTTTAATCATGACTTGTAGTTTTCTTTTTTTTTTTTCTTTACACAATTCGTTCCTGCATAAATATCCTTTCTTTAGCTCTTTTTTTAAACGATTTTCTGCCATATAATGGACTAGCTGTAAAAACAACAAATGATAATAATATATAATTAAGATAATTAACCAAGAGAATGCAAATCCTCAGTGCCTCGATTAAGATGGGTTTCATAAAAGTGTTTGATATAGTGGTTGTTAATAATTGCAAAACCATTAGCTAAATGGGAGGTTTTTGTATGAGTTTAAACGAATGAAAAATGAATCCACCTTTTTTTAAGGGACGGTCTTAACCGTCTTAAACAGATAGATGGGACCATCAGGGCACGATGTTTCAAATTTATGCAAATACTTAAGCTGACGCTTAAAACTGCCTGCAGAGGTGTAGCCCGAACGAAGCCCGAACATTAACATTTAGATACTAGGGATGGGACGGTTTCTGAAAACCGTCTGAACCGTTCGGTTCGACTGTCTCGGTTCGGTTCGCGTGTGTACCGCACGGTTCATGCACTGCTCCTTTTTCTCAGAGGGAAGCGTGTTCACTCCAGAGCAGAAGGGGGCGCTACTGCACCCAAAGTCAACCACCAGTAGTAAACAAGAAGAAGAAGAGAAGCAGCGTAGCCGATAAAAATCATCTGACGCGCCAACAGCAGTTTCTACTAGGTCTGCTGTATGGATCAGTTTGCATTTAGAGGGAAGCACATGTTGGAATTAGCACTGTTTCCTCTCTTGCAATACCATAATCTCACCTACTTTTAACCTAACACTGTCACAATAATGTATCAAATGTCAGACTGCTTTTTTCTTTCAGTTTTTACTAGGGATGGGGATCGAAACCCGGTTCTATCAAGGACCTGGTTCCACTTTTTTCAAAACCCAAAAATCAATAACGTTTGGGCTTATCGATACCACTATCAAGTCTGGTCGTTTTTTTTTATTACAATAGTAATTGTGAAATCTGTGTTGTAATCGGCAGCATACAATCTAGTTAGCTTGAAAAGTAAATAAAGTTTCAGACGTGCTGCGTGATGATATGTTCAGATTGGCTCAGTAAAACGACAATTAGGTTATCATGATGCGTTCAAGTGTAACGTAAAGAAAAGGGAAATTGAGTTTTTGGCGAGAAACATGAGTAATAAAGTTGTATATTGCTCTAATTATTTTTAGAATATATAATTAAACTACTGATGCCAACATTTATTAAAAATTACATTTAATTTAAAATACAATTATTTATTTGTTAAATATTGTTGCATCGTCTTTCCACCAAATAACAGAAAATTATCGATAGTGGTATCGATAAAGACTCGGATCGATAAGGAGTATCGATAAAAGTATCGATATCAATAAATATTAACGATCCCCATTCTTAGTTTTAACCTGACTATACAAGACGTAATAGATTTTCCTAACAATCACCATATACCGAACCGAACCGAAAACCGTGACCACGAAACCGTGAAACGAACCGAACCGTGGATTTTGTGAACCGTCCCACCCCTATTAGATACAGATCACTTCCTGGAAAACTGTGCCCTAAAAGGGCTTTTGAGTTTTGAAAGGTTCTTTTCGGAGGCCCACCCTCACAGAGGACTATGTAATCTTTCCAGCCATAACAACCTACTCTAGTGGCTGGCAGGCAGCGTTCTGAGATGGAGGTCATGAGCATGTCCCCCCTCTTCCAGCTCTCCCAGCTGCAGCACAAAACCTCCATCTGATTAGCTGTAACTTGAGCCCAACAGTAAACTGTCCTCGAAAATGAAAAATGGGCTCCAAACACCAAATGTCAAATACCGTCATTTACAACTGATACAACACGGTTGAAACAAGAAAAGATTTCAAAGAGGATGGTGTTAGATTACGCACATAAATGACAGCTGAAGGGGAAACGGAGAGAGCGAGTCGACTGCCACTTGAGGAATTAATTCGGAGTAACCATTGATTTTGGATCCTGATATAAAGCCCGGGCCTGACACACAGGCACAAATAGAGTGAGATCATTTCTCTTTCTGGGTAAAATCTCCCATCGATTTCTTGATAAAAATCCCACACACATGGGTATTGCAGAGGCAGGTTGACTGAAATTTGCGGCTAATCATGTGCACATTTGACAAAATGATGGTTCTTAGGGGGGAAAAAAGTAAAATATATCGAACATTAACTAGCTGAATTGCTATATATATATATATATATATATATATATCTATGCCACTTACACGCTTCTTAGTTAGACAAAAAAGGGCTGCGTGATGTCTGGTGAGGATGAAGTGAGGAAACACACATAATCCAAGCAGAGCCGTGTTGAAGAACCTGCTAGTTCAAGTTTTGTTTTGTTTTTTCAATCAAAGAACACCACCTCAGCTCTGGT